AGTTTATTTCCTTGATTCTCATTGCCCCCCCCCCCCCCCCTTTTTTTCTCCTCTATCTCTCTCTCTTTCCCATTTGAAACAGTCTTCTTCATCATGTATCATCCACCAACCCGTCAGGCAAAATATGTTTATAAAAAATATCTGCCAGTCCGTATGCTCCTATGTCTCCTCAGGTATTGGTGACAATGTGAGTGATCCATAAAGGCAGATCTATTCAGTCTAATTCTATGCTTTGTGCGGTGCGTGACGACACGCTTGTCATTTATTTTTATCTGTTTATTTTGCCTGCCCCCTTCCCGTATGGGGAGGTCTGGGGATCTCCTCCTGGGTCTGTTCCCTATAGAGGGATGGGTACGAAAAGTGTTCAGTTTTCACTCTTTGTTTCATTGCAGCCATTTGCTAAAATCAAAAAAGTTTATTTTATTTCTCATTAATGTACCCAGCACCCCATCTTGACAGAAAAAATCTAAATTTTTTCTTCTGATCTTTCATCAGAGGGTTCTGCTCCTTTATTGGAGTCCAGCTGTATTTAATTAAACTGAATGGACTTGATTGGGAAGGACAAACACCTGTCTATATTAAACCTTACAGCTCACAGTGTAAAATCCACACACACAAAGGACAAAATCTACAGATGATGAGAATTGATGCAAGCATACATGATCCACACATGCAGAGAACAAGATTCACCAAAGTATTTCTGGTCCATAAACAATAATAAATTAAATTACAAAGTACCAGTGGTCTTTAAACTTCACAGCATTTGTGTGTGGATTTTTAAAAGTCTCCTGACGTGCCTCAAAACACAAATACATTTTTTTAAACAGGGGATGGTTTGCCACCAATCGCAAAGCTCCCTTGTATAAGCAAATCACAAGAAAGTACTCCACGTGGGATGAATTACCCCGAGATCTCACATCCTCCGTCACCGTGGATTTTTTGGTGCGTGTGTGAATCGTGTTGTGCATGTGTGGATCTTGTCCTGTGTTTGTATGAATCACATATATTTATTTGTGAAAATTGAGACTGATCTAACTTTATATAGTGCATGTCAGAGGAAATGAGTATCATGAGGTTGAAGGAACAGTCCAAGGAGCTAAGGGAAAGAATTTAGGCAATGCACAGCATGCAGCACTCAAGGTTCCTAAGAGGACAGTGGCCTCAATAATCCTTAAATTGAAGAGGTTTGGGACGACCAGAACTCTTCCTAGCCATGGCCATCCAGCCAAACTGAGCAATTGTTGCAAATGTACCTTGTTGAGAGAGGTAAAGAAGAACCCAAATATCAGTGTGACTGAGCTCCAGAGATGCAGTAGGGAGATGGGAGAAAGTTCCTCAAACATATGAAGAACTCCCAGACTATGAGAAAGAAGATTCTCTGGTCTGATCTGGGACATCAATTCCCAGAGCTATATTGGCAAAACCGGCCTCACACACACACACAAACACAAAAAAAAAATGGTTTCAGTTTAATAGATTAACGTTGAACGTACAAAAGTCTAAATTAATGGTCCTCAGTGGTAAACATCTTACACCAAGTACTTATCTAAACTTCAAACTGGCACTGCAGGTATCATTCCTAAGATTTTTGGTAGATGAAATGCTTAATTGGAAAGGCCAAATGAATTGGCGCTAGTAAAAAAAACAAACAATAATCTCTTAGTATCATTAGACAGATTAGGCATTTTGTTAAAGGTCTAATAATACATTCATAGATGAATAATATGAACAGTGGGTATGTATTTGTTGTTGGTGCAAATCCTCAGATGTGGCAGAAGGCATTTACCAGAAACCTCATTCAGCCTCAACGGTCGAAGCTATTTGGGTGGCCTACTTAATGTCACCCCCATCCCGAAGGCTATCATGGTTACAACCAGTAACCATGACAACCACTTAGTTGATTTGTTGGGTTTGTAAATATGGCGGCTAGAAGGAGCACATCTGAACCAATTTGACCATTTGTCTAAACTTCAAGGAGAAGATATGCAAAGAACAAGAACGCAAAAAGACGTTTCAAAATGGTAAGGTCATTATTAAACTTTTCTTTCTTCAGCCCATAAAGAATATTAGTCTTGTGTTATGTCCACTGAAAGTTGGAAAGTTAAAAATGCCAATACAACGCCATAATGCCTCTCATTTCGTTTAAACTTTGTGTGATATATATACGCTTTTCTTATACCTATTGAAAAATAAAACACAAATACCAAGTGTTTCTCAGAAAAACAAACCAAATCTAATTATGAAAAAGAAATGCACAACCAGCAAACATTATCCATTATCCACAGGCTTAGTTATTACAACTAAACATTAGCCCTGTAATTCAACGTTACTAGGTTAATCAATGTTTTATCAAGTGTTAATCTGGGGAGGAATAGGTGAAAAAGAAAAAAGACATTAAAAATTTTACTTTTAAATACTGCAATTTGAAATCATATTTGAAAATATATTTTTAGTATGTATTATTAAAGAACTCTAAATTGTATTTATTGATTCATATTTAAATACTGGAATTTGAAAATGTATTTTCAAAACCTATTTCTAAATTGAAACTTAAAAACCAATTATTCTTTATTCCATCTTGTTCTTCAACATGCATTTTCAAATCCGTCTTGAAATTACATTTTCTTTTTGCATTACCGCTCTATTTACCTATTGCGTGACCCCTCTGGTCTTTGAGCACACTACAAACTAATCAATATCAATCATTGGTTAGACTGCCACAATTGATTAACAAAGAGACCAATGAGGGAGCTGGTTACATCTGAGGAGCAACTGTGATTGGTCAAACTGGTTTCCCGTGTGCTCAGGAACCAGAAGGGTCACAGAGGTGAAAATGAGTTAAAAAAAAAAAAAAAAAAAGCGCTGAACATTGCATACTATAAATCAGTCTTATGTTTACATTTGATTACCATGTTTACATTTTATCAATGCTGCACTTTAAAAATGGACATGTCTTGAGAGCTGTACTGAACAAAATTTCTTTTGGTATTCACTCTGTGTAAACAAAATGACAATAAAGTCTGTTTAAGTCTAAGTCTAAAAGAAGGTGAATGAGCTTGTAAAGCCAAAAGGAAATGCAATTTCAAAAAGGATTTGGAATGAGAGTTGAAAAAGAAATAAATGTTTCAGTGTTTAATTAGGAAAGGCATTTATAATCAACTGTAGCTGAGAGGAATGCATCACTGTGCTGCACTTTCTGAAAGGTCCTTGTCTCTATATATAAAAAATAAAATGTAAAGGAAAATCTTGCTTTTCTTTAGCAGACATAAATATAAAAAAACAAATCCATGAAAATAACATTTTTAATGATGATTGTGTCATTTCTCCACATATTTTCAAGGATTTTGTTAATATGTGGAAGTTATGTCCCCCTGAAGGCAGCTGCGCCTCGGTTCTTTTCCTTGGAGCAAGTTATTTACTACTCTTAACTCAAACTGGGTAAAAACATATAAAAAGGACTATAAAAACAGGAGTAAAAAGTAACAGAGTTTATTCTAGATCAGGTCGTTACAGGACAGAGAAATTGCTTGGAGCTTGCACAGCTGTGGGCTTAAAAACACGTCAGCGAGCGTCCGGCAAAGATTGAGCCCCGAACAAGGTCATCTCCTGCTTCTTATACCTCATGTGTCTATGTGTTGCATTAAATGGATGCTTAGCTGTCCGTATCAGAAACTGACACGCCATCATGCCCTGACCTGTATGCAGCTTGCCTCTATGCTTCAGGGTTACAGATAGCTCTCCTCTATCAGTCCGGCTCCAACATGTGCTCATATCCTGTGTATTTCTAAAGACATGAAGGCTGTCCTGATTAGATGGCCTCCATACACACAGTGACATCCACAATGTGAAGGAAGGCCTTCTACTCTGACTAATCTGGCTAACAAAGTAACAATGCACATGATGTATAAAGAATAAACCTAACAATTTCATTCAATAAAACAGGGCCAATCCAGCACACAACGGCGTTAAAAAAAGTTTGACACACATCGAATGTCAAAATCTCTGCAACAACAAACATGTTTCCACTGTTTAGTTTTGGCCTTTTGAAGTTTTGTGAGCTGGTGCTTCTTGGGTCGTCCAGCTTTCGTGGTTCTGAGCTTCAACACAGAGTTCCCTAATGATAAAGGCCCCTATGTGGGATTCAAACGGAGCCTCGGTTGAGCCTGGAGACATAGCTGGCGATGACCTCCTCCTTTTCCGGCCGCTCATACTGTTCTATGAAGTCCTCTGGGACAGGGATGGCCAACAGGGCGCTGGTGTAGGGTGTGGGGTCCACAAAGACTTTATCAAATATGAGGCCCATCAAGTCAGCAACATAGCCTGTTTCATAAGACAAGCAAAACTTTTTGTTTCCTTGTTTAATCATAATTACCAAATGTATATATATTTTAACAAAATGCTCAAATGTGGATAAATAAATTCTGGTACTTGGCTCTAATTTAGTTACTCATTTATGTTTGTTTTCTCTATTGTAGTTATACTGTATTCTGTTTTATATTTTTGTTTAAGTGAGAGAGTTTCTTACAGCTGCAAATTAAATCATTTCTAGTCAAAAATTCGAAGAATTGAACGCTTACTGAATGTCGGTTTGGTCCTATGTGGTTTCATGCTACACTCTCCCTTCATAGCCTTTGGAAAGTGGACCTTGAAGAGGGGCACGCCTTCCCGTGTTTTTGCTTGTGATCGGTTAGCGTTCTCGTTGTAATGCATGGCAGCCAGGTAAAGCCTGAAAGCGAAAGAAAGCTAAAATTACTGATGATCATAATGATAGAAAGTTTAGGCTACAACTCTCATGAGTTCCAAGTAACCCTGAATTGATTTACCTGCACAGCTTTTCGATAAATGGAAAGATGACATTCTTTGGTGTAAAATGAAGGATAACGCTGTGGAAAGCCTCCAGAGACGAGGTCTGGTGGTGAGGGCTGAGTTTGGCAACATCCTTCAGAGTCCTTCTGTTTGTCAGCACCCTCTCTAACATGTGGAACGCCGGAGTTTCTACAAACAAGGAGAGAAAGAAGAAGCCCAGTTTAAAATACAACAAAGAAATAAATATTACTGATGTTTAGGTGTATTTGAGGAGTATTTGCATGGGCGCTTTGATATGATACGCGTCACATTACTTTGGTCATGATACGATATTATCCCGATATTGCAATATCACTATATACACTCACCGGCCACTTTATTAGGTACACCTGTCCAACTGCTCGTTAACACT